TGGAAACCAGAGGCTGCTTGTTTGTCAAATACCATTACAGTCTAAAAGCAGTCTGTTGGCTCAGCAGAGACCTGGGAACTGGTGCTTTTATGCAGAGGAAGAACTGAGTTCCCTACTAGTGTGCGCACTCCTCAGGTGTTTAAATCAAGGCCCAAGCTCTGTCGCTGTTAAAGCCTTCACAGTCTAAGCCAAGCCTGTGGTACAGTAACGAGATTCTCTTTGTGCAGTCTTGGGGGGCAGAGCCTGTTCTGTACTCCCTCCACGATTTCAGTTGTTCCCGAGGCTAGTACCAATTCCTCTAACTCCTTGTGGTTTAAATGCCTCTTCTACCTGCTCCAGCCATTTGGGTGTTTTGGGTAGGATTGAAAACAAGGAGATAGGTTGTGATCATCCTTCCTTTAAAAGTCATTTCTTCCTGTTGCAGTTAGCTCTAGCTATGACTGGTCCTACAGCTATCACAGCTGCTCCTCTCTATCCCCTCTGCCCCAGCTATTAATTCTCTCAGGTTTCCCTTCAAAGGTTTTTGCAGTGCTGAGAGTATCTCTATGTCCTCTTCCCTGCACCATGGTTCTCTTACACAACCTCTGGTTAATTTTTACCAACACGGATGCCATTTGCCAAGATGTTCAGAGCAAACTGGTTCTTTGGTTCCAGAAAACCCTCTCTCTCAAAGCAGTTCAACCTGACTAAGCAGCTGCCTGGAACATTATCACTTCAACCAGAGTTTATCACTTGCTCTCACTCAGGCCACCCAAGTTATCACTCTATGAATGCAGAAGTTTTTACATAGTTTTTTCTTTCCCTGAAGTTTCTAAGGTAACAAAAGTTGTTCAGTGAAAGTAGAGAAGAGAAGAAAAAGAGGTTGAATTATTTCTTTTGTCTTGGAATTACTGCCCCTGGGACAGAGACCCCTAGAAGATCCAATTTTAGAGCAGCCCTTGTTCCCGATCATTCAGCGGGATCAGCTTGGCAGGAGTTCCTATAGAGATAGAAGTGTCTCCATCCCTTCCCCCACCCCCAAAAATGGCTGAGCTGTACTTACTTTCTTGGCACTTCGGGTGCCCTCGCTCTGGCTGCTGGGTATATCGGGCTGCATTCTGGCAGCTGTGAGAGTTAAGCTGCCATTTCTAGTTGTTCTGAGTCACTGGGCAGGTGGAGAAAGGGAGGGATAGGCTTTTTCCCCTTTGCCTTGTTTGCTCAGACAGCTCTGGGGACAACGCCAAATGCTACTGGGGCTGGATCAGGTCAGTGCCACTGCCTTTCTGGTACTTTCAAGAGCATGGACGGGACATTGCCCTGAAGCTGCTAATTCAGACAAGGGTAATGGATACAGTTGGGTAACACAGAAGAACTCAGCCTTGCTTGCATGGTAATGATTTCTGTTCACCAGCAAATAAAACCCAGGCAGGGCCCCTAGAAAAGTGTGGTATTTTTTTACCTAAACAGATTTTAAAGTACTTGTCCAGTAGAAGGAGATTTCCTGGCAGCAATGGCGACCAGAGCATATGTTTAAAGGGTTTGGAAATGAGACGAGAGGTGTCCTGCTACTGTGTGCCTGCCACCCTCCGGGAGTACTACATCAGCCCTTGGAGTCCTAAGCCACCCAGTTCAGGGGCTCCCTGGCTGCCATGGGCAGGGGAGGGTGGGAGTGACACCACCCTGCAGCAGCTGAACACCTGTGATGCTGCTTGCAGATCCTAACTGCATGGAGCTAAAGGTCTCTTCCTGCTGTTAACTTTTCTAGGTAGGGTTAATGGCTTTTTTTTTAATCAAAAGTTTGCTATGTAATAAGTAAAAAAAAAAAAATCTTTTATTTTGTGTGTTTACACTGGGGGAACGATGACATAAAACCTCTTGCCTATAAAGTAATTGGCCTCTCTGTTACCAGTACTAACAAAGCATCACTGCATTCTGAAACATAGATGTTCCCTGTTAGATGCCTCTTCAGGACACTTATCAGACACAGCTACAACTGAGCTCAGCAAATAGCTCTGTAACACACCTTTCAATCACGTAGACCTTGTATTGACAAAGCCTTTGAGCCCCAGGTGTCACCCTGGGGTAGGCAAAGGCCTGGAGTCTGCCTGTGAGCAGGACAAAATCCTCCTGAAGCCTTAACCTGCACGGGAGCTGTTATTTTCTCATTAGAGGCTTCAGCTGGAGAGGTTGTTTGCCTCGTTCAATAGCAGGAAAGAATTTTTCATTTCCTTGAGGCCGTCACGTGAATTGACTGTAAAGAGGATTCAGGATACAACAGCACTTAATTACACCCACCAATAACCCGACTGCCCTTCCTGGGCATTAAAGAGCTCCATCCCAGCGGTTCCCTCCCTCCCTCCCTCCCCACACAGCACACATGATCCAGGAGCTTTGCTTTGACGTAACAACCAAATGGCCAGGAATGCGTGAGCTGGTCCAGTGACAGAATTCCTCTGCCTGCATGTGTACAGGGTAATGACAGGAGCCCGATCAAGGCACAGGCATTTTAAAGAGCCCTAATGTGTACCACCCTCTTAGTAACACCTTATTAAAATGACAATAGAATTTTAGAAATGTAATTGCCCTTCTCCCCCCCCTTAATGATGCTAAAAATAGCACAGTCATTTTAATTTCCCCATCTCTGACTGGCAGCTTAATTTTGTTTCCAGCAAAGCAAGGGAGAATTAAGAACAAAAAAATAGTGTTCTTTTGTAACCAAATTCCTTTTGAAACTAGGAGTGATGATGGAAAGGGTCCGCTGCTCCTAATAACTCATAAATTTTCCTCTTCTGTTTCTCCCCCTTCTTTTGCAGAAAAAAAAACAACCCTGAATTTCAGAAGTTCTTGAAATTATTTTTTTTTCTTGACTCAGTTTTTTTTCTCAACTTGGTGGGAAAATGAGCAAGGACAGCTCCTGCAGCACTGGGAAGGAGAGCATTAACAGATTTCTTGGAGACGGACATGAGGCATAAAGGACATGTAGTGAGTGGACAAGGGGGAATGGCTTTAACCTGCCAGAGGGGAGATTTAGATGAGATATTAGGGAGAAGTTCTTCCCTGTGATGGTGGTGAGGCACTGGCACAGGCTGCCCAGAGAAGCCGTGGCTGCCCCATCCCTGGCAGTGTTCAAGGCCAGGTTGGACAGGGTTTGAAGCAACGTGGAAGGTGTCCCTGCCCATGGCAGGGGGTTGAAACTGGATGAGCTTTAAGGTCCCTTCCTACCCAAACCAGTCTGGGATTCTTAATGCATGATGTTGATCGCTTCAAAAGCAGTCCTTGAGGTAAACGGTTCCTGAGAGAGGGAAGGAAGGAGAAAGAAAGGACAAACCAAACCTGGAAAGCTGTGGGGGATCTGCGTGGAAATGGGGCAAGAGAGGAACTTAGTATTTTTGCACTTGGAAGGGGTGGTTGCTGTGTTAATTACTTAACCAGAGAGTCACAGAGCAACTCAGGAAGCAGCTGTGATCTTTGTCCCTTTTGAAAATGGGCAATAAATTAAACATTCAAATGTAACTGTTATTGAGAAGATACAATTCCAAGCTGCAATGGGACTCATGATAGGATTTTTCTCGGGAGTTCTTCAGAACCAAGACAACGAGAACACTTCATTGCTGCCCCTGGGACTGTTTCAGCTCTCTAGTCACCAAGGCTGACTCTCCATTCTTGCTCTGCTTGTGTCAGCTCCAAGGACGATGCCAAACGTGTGGCAGGAGAGCTAGAAGGGCTGTCCCTGGTGTCCCTCTGACTTGTTTATAGCCTCAGTCGGATCAAAAGCCACCTCACATGTGGACAGCCAGCGGGCCCTTTGCAAGTGGCGTCTGCCCAACCCGGTGGCCTTGGGCCCTAAAATAAAGAGCCAGGCGAGTGACCCGCCTGCCAGCCGGGAGGCCGGGGCTCAGCCGCGGGGTGCAGGTGCTCATCATTCTCCCTGACCCGGGCAGCCCCGGCGGTAGTCGTCCCCGTGGCCGTCCTTCCACAGAGCAGCACGCAGCGCCCGCCGTGCACCAGCTGCAGCGGCTCTGCTTGCCCCGGCATGGCGGGGCCCCGAGCACCCCGCGGTGCGGGATGTGGACAACGGAGACCGGTCAGGCCACGGCGTCCTCAGTGACTACAGTCCCCGGCAGCCGCCGCGCCGCGCCTGGCACCGCCTACCCCGCGCACACCCCCTTTGGCTCACTGGCTGAGGCAGTGCACCAATCCGAAGGCGCCGCCGGGTCCGGCCAGCCAATGGGAAGGCTGTTGCTAACACGCCGCAGTTATTTTTAGTACGGCCGCCGCTCTCGCACCTTGCGGATCCCCCGTCTCCGTAAGGGACGGGCCGGCCAGGCCCTCCTGCACTGAAGGCGGAAGCGCACGGATGTGCGGCGACAAGTAGTGCGCGGGTTGTGTGCCGAGGGGTGGGAAGCGCGGGGCCGTGGGGGCGGCTGTGCCTGCTGCTGTCCTCCCTGCGGTGACTTGGGCGGCCCTTGCTGCGCCTTGCCCCGTTGTCCCCTGAGGAGATGGGGCGGCTGTACCTTCCCTCCTGCCGTGTCACGGGGCCGGCGCTCCCGAGGGAACGGCCGTAGGGAAAAGAGCTGGAGTTACCGATTCTCCTCGCCTCGGCGCTCTACCGCCTGCATCAGTAGCGGGGCTGGGGGTTCCAGCGCAGGAGTGCTTGAACTCTTGGCTAGAGCTGTCCAGCGAGCGAGTTTGTCCCTTTGGAAGCCGCACTTCCCCAGGGTCCCCCCTCACCCGGGCGGCTTGTCAGCACCAGTGTGTCCGACCTCGCTGCCAAGCACCCGAGGAAAACGCGTGCCGGTCCCTTCCCTCCCCACTCCCGCTCCATCACCTCGCCATGCCCCCCCACCGCCTCAGGCTAGGCCGCTTGGAGAAGTCCTGAGGTCAACCCTCATCCCCACTAAAGCCATTGCCCCTTTCCCCTGTGCCGGCAGCGCTGAGCGACCAGGGGAGCGCATCGCCACCCCCCCCATCCCGTCCCCGGGGTTCTGCGTGCGGCGAGGGGAGGGGGAAGTAGTCCCAGTCCGCCCTCCGCGACCGCATCACACTGGGCGGGAGCGCGGATCCCTGCGCGGGGTTGCTAAGGGTGAAAGTTTGCCGTGAGTTGGCTCACTTGAGGCTAGGGTGCGGGCGGCTCTGGGCCGGCGGGCGGTGACAGGAGGGGCGACAGACGAGGAGAGGCGGCAACACCGGCACCCGCACCCCACCCCGGGCGTTCCGCACTACCGCCGGCCCTACCGCAGACCCCGGTCCCGCCCCGCGGAGGAGCCGTACCGCCGGGGAGAAGTCGAGGGAGGGGACGGGACGGGGCAGAGACCCGCACACACCGCCCGGGCTCCACCGCCAGCTCCCACGGCCTCGACAGCCGCCGGCCCTGGAGCCGAGGACGAAGTAAGTGGAGCCGGCGGAGCTTCCTTCCCTTTCTCCCCACCCCCTTCTCGGGACGGGTCTCCCCTAGCGCCTGTGCTCTTTGTGGGCTCTGAGGGGGCGATGAGCCTGGCATGGGGGGGGTGGGTGTAATTTATTCGGCCGTGGACCTACCATGCGGCTGCCGGTTCTTGGGGGGATTGATGGGCTTCAAGGGTGGGGTGGGGGGTGAAAGTCAGCGGGTCGGCGGCGCTTTGCGATGCCCTGGTTCACCATTTTCTGTCTGATGAGGGGACGGGGCGGGCGACTTAGCACCAAGAAGGACAGGCTGGGCCCGAGGGCGGCGGCGGCCACTCTGCGCTGCCGGGGTAAAGTGGGATGTCGGCGGGGTGTCTTCCTTCACGCATGGCGGATCCAGCCCCCGCGGGCTCTTCTGGGGGCAATGGTGAGGGGGAAACCCAGAGACAACAAAGACGCTGCTGGGGCTGGGCTGGGCTGCACCCCCTGGTCCCGCCGGCCTCGGGGGCCGCAGTGGTGCCCCGCCGGGTGCGTGGGGTCAGGCGCTCGCCCTCCCGGGGGGCATTCCCCGTTCCGTCGAAGGGCTCTTATGGGGGACCGTGTTTGCTACCCACTGGGGGGACGGAGACACGCACCCGGGTGGGGGAGGATGCGGGTCTTGTGGCCTCCCGGTCTCTGTCCCGCAGCCATGGGGCAGGGACGCGCCCCCCCATCCCTATCCCTGCCGAGAGGGAGGGGAGGGGAGGGGAAGGGAAGAGGGGGCGGCTGCCCGGCGGTGCCGGGCCGCGGGGCGTGTTCCCCGCCGTGGGCAGCGCCGGGGCCGGCCGCCAGCGCGCATGTGCCGTGGAAAATTTTGTGTGCTGCCCCGGCGAGCGGAGCGCCGAGCCGGGCTGGCCGCGGGGCGCCACGGGAGCTGTAGTCCCCAGAGAAGTAGGTCGCGGGGCAGGGAGGGGGGACGAGGACTACAAGTCCCAGCGTGCACCGCGGCTGTTGGTGGGGTGGTTGGTGAGGAAGGGGGTGAGATCTGTCCAGCCGGGTCAGCGGGTATTGGCCGCTCTGCCGGGCAGGGCTCGGCCGGCTGCGGGCAGCTCGCCTCGAGTGTGGGGAGCCCCTCTGCCGCCCGTGAGGGTGTATGGGGGAGGAGGGGCACGGAGGGCGAGGTTGGCAGGGGGTCCCTTATTCGGCCGGCTGGCTGTGGGAGCACAGGTCGTGGTGGCAGCCGCCTTGTACAGTCACTGGAGCAGGGCTGGTGGGGTGAGGCAGCAGCAGGAGCCGGTTCCCGAGGGCCAGGCGTGCTCAGGAGCTTGGAGGGATACTCACAAGGTCACCCGCCGTGTTTGCGTAGGGAGTAGGAGAGAGCATGGTGCCCGTGTTTGTTGTCCCCTGATGCAAGTGGTCATCGGGCCTCTGTCCTCCAGCACATCGGTGTGCTGAAAACCAGGGGCTCTGAGCGTGTTCCCTGTGCAGAACAGAGGAGCGGCCCTTTGTTCCCTGCCTGCACCTAGGTATTCTGCTTATGGCACCATCAGCCTTTGCTTTGGCAATGCTGGCAACGTGGGCAAGCCTCTCCTTATGGGAAACTTGTCATATTCCCTTCTACAATTGATGTTGTTTCATGTCTTGGAGCCATGCAGCATCGTCTAGTTTTAATTATTTTATTACTATGTTATCACATTTTAGTGCAGTAGCAAGAGATTGTGGGGGGCCTGCTGGAGCACATCTGACTGTCAGCAACCTGAAGAGTCAGTGGAATCTCTGAATCTTCAAGCCTTCTGCTGCGAATATCAGCTATATGCAGCTACCTTGGCAGCTGTTGGTATTATCAGGCTAATCAACTCATGGTTTTCATAGCCAAAGTACAGAGTATTCCCCTTTTAGGAAGGGGGAGTACCTCTTTAAAGAGAAGAGAAAAGGGAGGCAGTGATTTATAATTGTGTCTCCTTGCTGTCTTCTGAAGAGCGTTGATGGGGATGTGGGCAACGTGAATGCCTCAGAGTATATTGAGGCATTCGTGTTGCAAATAGGGTGGTAGTAAATTTTGGCCTTTGCTCCTTTCCCAATCTGTAATTTCTGATTTCTTAATAGATTTTTGGATATGGATTAGAATTTACCACATGAGATTAAAAGATTTACAAACTGTCTGTTCTCTTCCTGCTTACTTTGCTGAGATTCCAAAGTGTCCTCTCCCTTGGATGCCTCAAAGCCAAAGGGTTGAGAAGGCTCCATGTAATCTGCTCTTGGGTAGCGTGGGCTGTATAAGCTCTTGTTATAACATTTACATGTGCTCTGCCGGGGGGTTGCTTTGTGCTGTTTTCTCTGGAAAAGGCTCTGTCTCTGTGCTGAGAAGCTTCTGAAAATGGCTTCTCCTTGTTGTTCTCTGGAACGCTCCAGTTGCTTATTTCTTTGGTGTGCATCTGTTCTTAGTAGAAATCGGTCAGGTCTCAGTGACCTACCAAAAGTTGACACACTACAATAATTCCTTAAAGCAGGTTTGAAAGGCAAGACTTCTTTCCATCTTTTTCATCCCTTCATTCCTGTGTTTTTTCATGTTGCTGAGTCAAACCCAGAGGGGATTCCTTCTAGAACTGACCTCCTTGCTGGCAGACTTGAGGTGCGGTATCTGTTTCTGGTCACCATCATCCTAAAGCCAAACCTCTTTGACCTCGGACTAATACAGAAAAAGCACAAAATCCACACCCCTTGTTTTTTGTAATAAAGCCTAAAAAATGCTTGAAGGTTGCTTTCAAATCCATCGAATGCTTCTTGTCCACTAAACTAGACCAAGCAAACTAGTCTGGTCAGTTTGTTCTTACTCCTGACTTAGGCAAGCGTGAATACCTTGTTGTGCTGCTGGGATTCTCAGCTCCTCCGGAGAATGCTGACACTGTATGTTTGTACTCCATCCCCACCCCCAAATAATTGGTACATGGCGTAAACCCTGGCTTGAGAGCTTTGTGAGAGCATTCCCCAAAACCCATTTTAGGAAGACGGTTGAATACAACATGTCTGTCTGAGCAAGGTGAGGGCAGCTGAAGAGACAGAGCGGCCTCTGACTAAGCTGCCAATTAAAAACTGGATATTCTGCTTCCCCCTGGAGAGGGGTGGAGGTTGCTGGAAGTGTGCTTCCTCTTAAAATATCTGTGGGATTTGTTTTCTTGGGATGGGTGACAGCACGTGGTGCTGACCTACCCGGGGCTTTCATTTTGTACCCAGGCAGACATTGTTTGCAAATATGTGTGTAATGGGAGAGTTGAGTGTTGTGGTTTTGCGCTGGGTTTTTGTGGCCTCTCTCCATTTCAGAGACTTCCTCACAAGGATGGAAGGAGGATTACTTCAGTCTTTGGCAAGCAATTTCAATTTTTATTAAGCAGGTACCTGATCCTGGCAGAGCTTAGCTTCCCTCTGCGCAGGGATAAGCGATGTGAACTGTGTCAGACAGGCTGTTGGTATGCGGGTTTTGTGACCCCATGCACGTTTCCTGTCCCACTCTTTCCCCCCACAACTGAATTAAATTGGGGTTTTAGGCTTGTATCTCGGCAGAGAGCCTCCACTGAGTACGCTTCATAGGATCTGTGCCTGCCAGTCAAGGGGATAGTAAACATGGGCTGGCAGCTGGTGCCTCAGCACCCTCCCTCGCTCCTTCTCATCCCTTCTATGCCAGCACCCAGCATGACCACCCGGCCTCCAGGAGGAGAGGCTGGTTCTGCTGTCCTGAGCACAAGTGGGGGTCTCTGCACAAACCACTGAGCGAGTCACAAGGCTGCTGGGGTGGTGTGCTTGTGTTCCGGAGAGGCTGGTGCAGGGAAGCCGTGCTGGAAGCAACTGGGTGCCAGCGCAGGGAGAGGTGCGTTAGATGTGCTGAAATAGCTCTGCCAGGGCAGGCAGTTGGCCTGCTGGGTTTCAGCAGTGGGATGTGGCAGTGAGGTGAGTATGATGTGTGTACCTGTGTAGCTACACCCTTATTTCTCTTGTAGAGGAGCAGGGAGGCTCCTCCCTAGCAGCAGCTCTCTGTTTGGAGGGCCAGTAGATTTGGGGTGAATCTCCTGGAGAGCATCACTGCTCTTCAGCATGTGTGGGAACTGCCCATTCTGCTTCTGTTAACGACAAAGTGAAGCTGTTCATCTCGACAGGTGACGAGTTGTTGTGCTCTCCCATCTTCATCTGTCCTTTTCTCTTTCCCTAGGTCTGTTTGGAGCCACATCTTGTCTATGTGTGTGTCACTTTGTCTCTTTTAATACACTGCCCTGAATTGCTTGCTGCGAAGGGAGTATGCATCTGGAGATCAAAGTTGCTCTTAACTTCATCATCTCATACCTGTACAACAAGCTTCCTCGGAGGCGGGCAGACCTGTTTGGTGAGGAGCTAGAGCGCCTGCTGAAGAAGAAATATGAGGGTCACTGGTACCCAGAGAAGCCTCTGAAGGGATCTGGCTATCGCTGCATTCACATCGGGGAGACGGTAGATCCAGTGGTGGAGCTGGCAGCCAAGCGGAGCGGGCTGGCTGTGGAGGATGTACGTGCCAATGTGCCAGAAGAGCTGAGCGTCTGGATCGATCCTTTTGAAGTTTCCTACCAGATAGGTGAGAAGGGCTCTGTTAAGGTCCTTTACCTGGATGACAGTGAGGGCTGCAGCGCCATGGAGCTGGACAAGGAAATCAAGAGCAGCTTCAACCCTGACGCCCAGGTATTTGTCCCCATCGGCAGCCAGGATAACTCTCTGTCCAACTCTCCATCCCCCTCCTTCGGCCAGTCGCCCAGCCCCACCTTCATCCCTCGCTCTGCCCAGCCCATCACTTTCACCACTGCCACCTTTGCTGCCACAAAGTTCGGCTCCACCAAGATGAAGAAGGGTGGAGGAGCCGGAGGAGGGGGTGGCGGAGCAGGCGCTGGGCAGCAGCCAAGGATGGTCAGGTCTCCCACCACCAACCTGCTGAAGCACAAGGGTCTCTCCCTGTCTATGCACTCTCTGAACTTCATCGGCAGCACCGGGAGCCAAGCCCCACAGTCGCAGCTCTCCCCCAACGCCAAGGAGTTCGTGTACAGCGGCGGGTCACCGGCAGCCAGCAGCCTCTTCTTCGATGGTGTTGCCAGCGAGAGCCAGGCCAGCAGCATCCCGCCGGCATCGCAGTTCAACACTGGCACGGGTGGTACCTTTGATATGGCTCAGGTCTTCGGTGGCAGCACCAACAGCCTCTTCTTGGAGAAGTCTCCCTTCGTGGAAGGACTCAGCTACAACCTGAATGCCATGCAGTATCCCAGCCAGTCATTCCAGCCTGTCGTCTTGGCCAACTGAACACAAGGAAAGAGAGTATCTTGGGGCAGGGAGGGAGGGGGGAGAAACGAGAACAAAACAAACAAGAGGGAGAGAAAAAGAAAATTAGAAATACACAGAAAATATTCAAATCTTATAAATATAGCTTCTTGGGAAAAGAAAGAGCCCAGTGTTGTTGCGCTGTGCTGGCAACGCTCCTGAAGCACTGACTTGTTTTTTAACTCAGTCCCTATGCTTTTTTCCTACTCACTTTTTTACTCTTTAAATGAGCCTTGGGATTTTTTTTGGTTCATGTTTCCCCTTCCCCCAGCCCAGGACCGGTGCAACCATAGGTCATGATACTGCTGATTCCCTGCACCATCCCCCAGCGCTGGACACAGGGTCCTTCCACCTGGGTGTAGGGATGTCTTCCTTGTACCACCTCGCTGGAGGCTGGAGGAGGGATGAGGAGAGGATGAGTCAGTGGAGATACACACGCTCCTGTTGCGTGCTAGCCAGAAATGGGTGGGTGAGCTTGCTTGTTCTGTTACGGGTCTGCGTGTAGACTGGAGAGGATCTACTGTGCCCATGGGCGTAGACCACTGTGCTGTTTGTTGCTCAGCCCAGGCTGGCATCAGCTGCTCTGTGTGCTGCGAAGCACTTACTACTCTCCTTGACCACCTCCCAGCACGTAGCAGGGAGGGCAGAGCAGAGCGTTACTGTGAAATGGCTTCTTCCTGCTCCCTTCCTCACCTGCCCTTCCAGCTGTGGCTGCAGGAGGATAGCCTTGAACTGAGTGGCTGTTATTGTCCCCTTCTGAGTGAGGGGGCCTTGCTGTGCCCCCTCAGGGCTTGCCAGGCAGTCTGGGCTGGGTCTGAGTTCTCATTCCCTGCTGTGAATTCATCATCTTGTCTCAAAGAGGGGATTCCTTCCTTTTTCTTTAGCAAGGCAGCACAACTTCAGAGGAAGAAGAAGGGCTGTGTTGTCAAAGCTGCTCTCTTGAGTGGTAGCATAAGGGTTTATGCTTTCAGTGAGATACCCACCTGACTAAATCCCCTCCCCTCCTCTGGAGAAGTGGGAAGAGGCAGCTGATCCAGCATAGAGGGGAAGCACCTAGCCCAAACTCACCATTGCAGCCAGATCACATCAGTGCAGATGGCAGTGGACTTAGAGCAGAGCCAGGTGCTTCAAAGGTGAGCAGTCATCCTGCTAGGTCAGTGTACGGTGCCTCCCTGCCACAGGGCCAGGATCCAGGAATGCTCCTGCAGCTTTCCCCAGGGTGATGTGCTGCAGCTGAGCCACAGTGGCTTTACAGCTAGGTTGTGTCTGTGTCAGGGACTAAGAAAGCCACCTTCACAGGGAGCTGAAGGAGGGAGGGCTGCTGCTTTCACCGCAGGGTGGAGGCTCTCTAGGTGGGAAGAAGGCCGCCTTGGAGGCTGTTGTGTTAGTATGGAAGTGTGCAGAGAGATGGAGATGATGAGACTCCAGTTTTTGAAGTTCTCACTTTAAAAGAAAAATAAGCTGCTTTGTTTTTTTGTTGCTGCCTCCCAAACTTGAGGTTTGGTTTTCTTTCGGTGATGTCTCTGGAGCACACACTGAAGCCCACTTCTGTATTTGTCAAACCTGTGTGCTCTTTCAAGACATCCCTGTTTCAGGGGAGGTGGGCTTGAACCCGGGCTTCTGCTCCTTCCCCTCAAGCTGAGACAAAGGCGCTTCAGCCCTCTTGTAGTTAACGCTGCCAGTGAGCCCCAGGGAGGCCTCCACTGCCCAGAGCTCTGCAGGGACAGTTCCCAGCACCCTGCCCCTCACTGGGTACTGGGGGCTGCACGGTCCCTGCCTCTCTTCCCGAGCAGACTACTTGCCATGGAGCTATGACCAACACGTAGGTGGGCAGGGAGCGTGGCTTCCCAAAACCAGCCTCTGCGGGCTTCCACATCAGGCCACTTTGCTGAGGAATGGCCGAGCAGTTGGGTTTCCCTTTTGTTTCCTTGTGTTTTTTGACCCCCCCCGCACTGATGGACATCACCACTGCTACTGCATCCTCCTCCCGCTGTCCCCGCATCCGGACAGCGCGCTCTCCTCCAGCAGAGGAGGAGAAAGGAGGAAGGAAAGGTTGGGATAACCCCCCCGCCCCAGCTCTGTCCACCTGCTTATGTGTGTGAAGCTTTGATGCTGCTTTGCCCTGCCACACGTATTCTACCTGCTTGAAAACACAGTGGTGTGAGTGAGGGGAAGGAGGGAGGAAGAAGAGGAGGGACCAACCTCTTTGTATCTTAAAAGGAGAAAGTGCTTCAGAAGTGTTCCTCCAGCGTCAGGCAGCGATGGAAACTTAACGGCCTTTGCGGGTCTTTTCTAGTCTTGGATGTAGGCGTTCAGCTTCAAGTTTATTTTTTAAAAACCTGCACTAATTTCCCTGGTTTCTTAGGAAGAGAAGAGAGGAAACAAAAATTCTTTTTTTTTTTTTTTTTTTTAACTTTTATTTTTTATGGGTTTGTGTTCTTTTTTTTTTTTGTTGCTGTTTGTATGGAATAATTTGCTACATTTGTAAAATGTCAGAGGTATATATAATATATGTATATTTCTAACGTAAGAAAAAAACTGTAATTTTTTTCTTTTCAAGATTTTTTCTTAAAAAGAGGAGAGAAAAAAAAAATATTTTTTCAGGAAAAAAACTTTAAAAAAAAAAAGAAGCGGTGAAGATTCCTTTCTCCCCGCTCCCACAGCCTCCCTCCTCTCCCTCCCGCCCTCTCCAAGGAGTGAATCCACAGTTGCCTTGCGGGAGAGGAGGAGTGGAAGAGGCCAGAAGTCTGTTTCTGTGTGTGCTCTGCTTTGGGGGATCTGTTCCCCGAAGGGGGCTGCTGCGAGGGGGCACCCAGGGGGTTGCTGTCTTTTGGGTTTTATTTTTCTCTTTATTTTATTTTTATTCTTTTCTTTAGAAGGAGGAATACAATCAGAGTTTTGTATTCAGAATGTTGTGCAATATTTTGGAAGGGGACATTGGTGTGTCTAGAGATTTAGTTAAAAACAACAAAACAGAAAAAAAAACACACAAAAAAAAAAAAGGTTGATCAAATCTGTACAGTTTCTATTGTTCCAGATTTTTTTAAGTTTGTATTAAAAGCATGGTATAATAAATGCTTGTTTTGTGGTGTGTGTGCTTGGCGGGCAGGGAACACTTCTGCTCCGTGCTGCCCTTGGGTGGGGTGCTGCTTGGTGCAGGCAGGGTGAGTGATGGAGGTCAGGAATAGCCTGGTGATGGCCAGGCTTGTGCAAGACCCCGAGGGCAGCTGCCAGGAATAGCAGCGGTGTCTGTGTGCCTGGTCCTGCCGTGATTCAGCTCCTTGGGCAGGGGTGGCTGGGGTTCAGCTGGTCGCTGCACAGGGCAGCTGAAGCCTTTCTCAGCGATGGTTTCTGCAGAGGGGCTGCTGGTTGTGGCATCTCTCTCCTCTGCAAAACAGTTTGGGGTTTATCTGGGGAGGCTTAGGAAGCAGAGAAAGCCTGAAGGTGTGTGTGCAGGCCATATGCTCCCTGCTGTGTATGCCTGTCGCTGGAGATATGGTGACTCCTCGTAGCAGAGCGGGCTTGAAGTTGGACAGGAGAATTAAGCAGTGATGATGCAGCTGTGATCATGTTCCTCTTTCTCACCTCATTGCTTACCTGTAGTTGTAATTTCTGGCAGAGGGCACTTCTCCATGGTGACAGGAGGGGACATGGCCCTTCTGTGCTGAGGAGGATGCTGAAGTGCCCCATGGCTGTGGGACCCAGCTGCTCCCGCTCCAAGGGGGCCTTGTGGCTCTGGATGTACTTGAGGCAACCAAACGTGGGGCCAGTACCCGTGAGCAGCTCACACCAGCATCCTCACCTGTGCCCTCTCAGCCCACCGAGCCGGAATGTGTTCCTGGAAGAGCTCACGTTGCTCTGCCCTTGGCTTTGCAAGCTGCTGCTCGCGCTTGCTGCACGCCACGTGACTGTCACCCTCTGCTAAGCAACAAAACTATTTTTTCCCCTTTGTGCCTCAAACCCCTTGCAATCATTTATCTCGAGTGTGCACCAGTGCTCGCCCTTAAACGTGCTTCTGGGAATGGAAAACCGAGGGCGAGTATGTGCCTTCCTGATCCTTGCCCTGCATTTGCTCGGCTGTGATGCAGGGAGGCACAGAGCCTTTCCCTTTTTGGGCACAGGTACGGCCTGGAGCTGGTTTACAGCTGATAGCTGTGCAGCCTGGGCAGGGATTAGGGAAAAGCCTCAGTGTAGCCTCATTCCTGTCCAAGGTATTTGCCCCTGGAGCCTGAAGGGTGTGGGGAGGTGAAACACCCACCTGGAAGCGGTGTGTTGGGAAGGGGATCTGCCTTCCATCAGCCTCCAGGGTGTCGGGTGGTGCCTGGGTGTGGGAGTATTTGCTGGCTGCTTGTGAGCGGCTGGGTCAGTCCCCAGGTTGGGTACTGCAGCGAAGCACAGTGACAAGATGGGGCTTGTCTCCTGGAACCTCCAAAGCGAGGGGCGTGCGGGTGGTGTTTAGACACTTGTCACAGGGGACTCTGTTGTTAGAAGGAAACGTGCAGCTTGAGTCACCGAGCTCCCATCTGAAAGGAGGAGACAGCCCTGGAAGAAAATGCCATGCTTCAGCCTTGTGCTTTTCAGCCTGTGACAGCAGCAGTTCCTGACACGCACCGGGCTGTTCTGGGAGAGGGAGGGGGCTGGCACCCAGGGGAAAGCCTTACGCAAGCAGGAAAATCAGGCTGTAAGGCAGCCGCGTCCTGCACCGCGCTTCCAATAGGGGCCCAGCCAAACAGCCCAAGAGTGTTCCGGAGGAGAGCATCCCCCACCGCCTCAGAACCTGCTGCGGGCTTGGGGTTGTTGGGATTGAACAACACATGGCACAGGCACCGCCGACAGCGGGTGCCTCCCCTGTGCCGGCACTTGCCAACGTGCCAGCACTGAGGGGTGCAAGAACACGGCTGGGACCTGCTGAGTCCTTGGCGTCCCCGAGGAGTGCTCCTGCCAACGCCACCTGCTCCCGCTCACCTGGCTGCAGCCCTGGTGCTCCCCACGGCCCCCGTGGGTGCAAGGGTCAAGGCTGGTGCCGCAGTCACAGAGGGTCCTTCCACCCCATGTATGTCCCCAGGCAGGGTGCAGGCAGCAGCACAGAGGCCAAGGCTGGTTTGCTGCCTCCCAAAGCTGGTGCTTTTCCCTTCGGTTTCTATGGCCAGGTTCCAATTCCAGCACAGCCGGGAACACGCTTGGAAGAGCTGTTCTTCCACCATCCCCCCGCTGCCACCTGCATCATCACCTCCAGAAACCTGGTCTGCTTTTAACAAAGCTGCTGAAGAAAGCTCTCGCCCCCAGCCCTAGGTGAAGGACAAGCCCTGGCCGGCATGCAGGGTGCTTTTGAAGCCATGAAGGACCAGTTTGTGTGTGGCCACTGCTAGTGGCAAAAGTGACTCCAGCACAGCAAGCGCACGTGCCAGGGTGGGATACATGCTTCACCACTGCCGCCAAGAAGCCCTCAGAGGCAGGGCAGCGGGTTAGGAAGAGATCTCTGCCAAGAAGATTCAAGGTTCTGTGCTTGAGGAGGGATGGTGCAGGGGTAGCAAGGGGGACCAGACTTTTCCCCCAAGGAGGCAAGTGTGGTCCCCGTGTTATCCCGCAGTCACCATGACCTGGTTGAGGGGGGTTGTTGCTTACTTCTGTTTGCCTGGGGCAGGCTGAGTGCTGAAGGAAGCAGATCCGGAGGAGGGAGCGTGTCCCTCCCCCTTGGCAGGGTGTTTCCACCAAGGACAAAGTTTTCCTTCAAGTGAATCAGCCAGAAGCTGCTCGCAGAAGGTGCAGCTGGAGCTTGCATCAGGGAAAAACAGGAACACCAAGCTCGAAAAGACCCACATAAGGTGATGTGCAGGGAGGGCAATGGGTGACATGGCTGCGGCAGGAAATGCTTCTTTCATGGGCCTCAGTTGCAGAGCTTGGCAAATTCATGCAAGGACCAAGTAACGCTTTCCTCAGCAATGGCACTTTGTGCTTCCTGATGTTCCTGTGGGTAGGTTCAGTGTCAACACGTGCTGCCCCAAGCTCCCTCGGAGGACTGAGCGATGTCTCAGCAGGCCTCAGGCGCCTTTCCAAAATTACCCAGGTCACGTCCTGTCCCTGCATAACATGAAAGGGGAGACATCGAGATGAGATCTCAGGCAGAAGTTCTTCCCTGTGAGGGTGCTGAGGCCCTGGCACAGGGTGCCCAGAGAAGCTGTGGCTGCCCCATCCCTGGCAGTGTTCAAGGCCAGGTTGGACGGGGCTTGGAGCAACCTGCTCTAGTGGAAGGTGTCCCTGCTCATGGCAGGGGGTTGGAACTGGATGAGCTCTAAGGTCCCTTCCAACCCAAACCATTCTGTGACTATGAAAGGAGCAGCAGAGGTGCCTGGAAGACATGAACACAAGCCAGGGGAGGACTGAGGAGCAGAGGGAAGCAGGCCAGCACCCTTGGAACATTGAGGTGTTTACACTCTTCAGGGAGGTGAGGGTGGCTGGAACTCCTGCCTTCACCACTGTGTGTGTTCCTGGTGACCCAGCATGGGTGGCAGCCACACCAGCGCCTTCCCAACCCGCCTGCCTCCCCGTGGCCACCCTCGCACGTGGGATCATCCTCACGCTGCTCTGGGCTGCTCCCAATGAGGTGGTTCCCCTCTGGGGACACTGCCAGCTCCCACAGGGTGCCCGTGAGTCACCGAGCTGCCACTGCCGACAGCACAGACGTGGAGGCGCCTTGGGGAGGTGCCGTGGCTCCTCCTGCTCATGGGGAGCGCGAGTGCCGGGCTGGCACCCATCAGGCTCCCCTGCTGCCTCCACTGATCCCACCAGCGCCAGCAGCTGCTCCCAGTGGGGCAGGAGATGGGGCAGAGGGATGGGATGGAGACACGCCAGGGAGGATGGCTTATCCCTCGCAGCCACGCCATTGCCGGCCTCCGCCAGACTCGGACAACAATAGGATCCAACAAAATAAACCCAGTAAGGGTGCAGGTGGGCTGTGACGCTCTGAGGCAGAGCTGAAGGTTCCCAGTGCTGCCAAGGGGAGCAGTCTCGCTGCACAAACAGTTGCTGTTGGACAGGGTGTTGAACTCTACAATCCACCACCTAACACATCAGCACATAAATGGCTGATTTCAGAAGGAAAAAGGAAGAAACCATCCTATCTTGCAGGTTATAAATCACAGCATGGATCAAGTGTCTAAAACCTTGCAAAAGAGACCTCATTTGGTTCTTCAAGCTAGAAACTTGTCCATTGAGACTGAATGGTTGAGACCAAGCCAGCTAAGAATGCTTATTTTATTCTGATGAGGCTTTATTTTTAATCTTGGAGATACTCTTTTCTCCAAGACACAGTGCTCTTTGAAATACATTCTTTTCCTCCATGGAGATACTTGTTCTGGGAACTTTCTGACCAACCAGTGCACATTAGTAGGGAATAAT